TGATGCAAAAGGGCGTTTAGGGCACTCTGGCGGGGTTAGTTGGTCCATTCCGCGAGACCAGCCACGAAGTACATTACGATGCCATGTCCTGACAGCTGAAGTGGTGCGATATGCAACAGGGATCCTACTGATCAGACTTGCTGTTGCTATTTCTCTGAGTGTTGTTTTTTTAGTATTGTATCCATACTACTCGTATTATTTCTACAAACAATGTCATTGCTGTTATTCGTTCTTATTTGCTGTTCTTATGGTATTACTATTGTCATTGTTGCTATAATTTTCATAACATTATTGTTATCATGATTATTATGGCTGTTATATAAAAAATTGTTATTACGAGTATCATTACCAGTAAGGCGGTAGCTGCGGTTCGTTCGGTTAGGAGACCCTTCAGTTGTAATTCGTCCCTGCAACGGATTGTTTGCACTCCGAGGACTACAGCTACGGGCTGTTTCCCCATGCCTCGTGCTGGCAGAGCATGGGGGCAGTGAGAGCGAGAAAAGATCCCGAAGTGCACTGCAGTTGGTTCCGGGGATCAGCTCGGGAACTTGACTAGATTTGGGTGCGCCGTCTATGCCAACGTTGTTTCAAAAGCACGTCTTTTGGCACAGCAGGCTCTACACGTATATATGACTTGCCAGACGGCACGCATTTGGTGAACATCCATCTTAGTTTGTGGTATCCCAAGCTCGGTGTCTGAAGCGTTTGCTCTCAAGAAGGCGCTTTTAGACTGTTACCGTTGTCATCAGTCCACGAGCAGTGCCGCAAGACAATTCGGGGCGAAGCGGAAGCAGATTGTGTGGCGAGCCGCGACAGTGGTTTCTGCAAAGCCTAGCACGTCGGCTTTGTCTTGTAAGACATCGCAGCACACCCAGCTAGCCAGTCATGTCCTCACAAGAACAACCACGGACCGGCAACGAGAACACTAACTATATTCCCGAACCTGTACGCCTCACCCCGAGAAACAACCCCTTGTGTGGAGCCTTGTCTGTTTGTGCGAGAGGGAGAGTCGAAAACCCGAAACCCGACAAGCCTAAAACCTAAAACATCCTAAAACCCTGAGCCTAAACCCTAAACTTCTTAAAGCCTACAGGCCCTGAACCCAATACCCCAAACTTGCAAAGCCCTATACACTAAACCCCATCTGAAACTCGGATACTGCGACTTCTGCCATGGCTGGGGAGCCATGGTGTCCACCTGAGCATGTGCTGAGATAGCTGGCATGCATCCACTCTACCTAGCAGAAGCATTTCAAGTATGCATAAACATCTGCATAAATGTACGTATATATATATATAGGTGTTTTGATGATACGGAGAGAGAGAGAGAGATGCAGGCACAGACACAACGTTATACATATATGTACATGCTGATGTATGCATACATGTTTTTTTTACGAACTTACGCATGTATGTAATCTCTATGTACTGTATGTATGTAAGTATGTATGTATGTATGTATGTGTGTGTTACTGTACTGTACTGTACTGTATTGTACTGCATGTATGTCTGTATGTACTGTATGTATGTATGTATGCACGCATTTATGTGTGCATGCATGCATGCATGCATGCATGCATGCATGCATGCATGCAAGTATGTATGTATGTATGTATGTATGTATGTATGTATGTATGTATGTACGTGTGTATGTATGTATGTACGTGCGTACGTAGCTAGGTAGGTATGTATGTACTGTATGTATGTACGTACGTATGCATGTACGTTAACATGTATGTATGTATGCATGTATGTATGTATGTATGCACGATTGTATGTATGTACATATGCACGTATGTGTGTATGTATGTATGTATGTATGTATGTATGTATGTATGTATGTATGTATGTATGTATGTTATGTTATGTTATGTTATGTTATGTTATGTTATGTATGTATGTATGTATGTGTGTATGTATGTTTAGGCATATGTATATGTACATGTATATGTGTAAGTATTTGCATATGTGTATATGTATATTAATATATGTATATATATATATATATATGTGTGTTTGTGTTTGTGTGTACATGTAAACACATACATAACTAATCATGGGTTTACAGTCAATAAACAACTTACAAATATTAAATAAGTACACATACATAGATGCATAACATACACATACATGTACGTACGCATACTGTCACTATGACCCATGACCACTACAGTCAACTGTGGTCAAGTGCAACTGTAAGCACATCTCAACAAACATCGTCGCAGTGATTACACCGGAATCTCCATATTGCTCAAAGGTGCATGTATGCTTGAACCAAGCCCATGTTTGCAATGTAGCCCTGGTCCGGAATGCAGGTTAATGGTAAGATCACGGTATAGCTGGTCATTGATCGTCCTCCTGATCATCAGAACGAGTCGGCCACGTCGGTGGTTCGATTCGATGGTGTGTGGCTTCGAAGGAAAGCTGCCGTGTTTGAGCCCATCTGAGCTCCGCATACCACAGCGCACAATCTGTTCACTTTGCAGCACCGCGGTCCGCTCCTTTCCGCACAGTTTCCGATTCAAGTTGCGCTGCATCATACAGAACCAGCCGGTGGCCAGTCAAATATTCCCTTACGTAGTTCGCCTGAAAAAATGCTAAACCTTCATCACAGCCGGCTGCTCTAAGCCCGAAGCTCTCTCCCCAGCTCTCCTCCTAAGCACCCAGGGCCGACTTGGAAGATGATGAGGAGGCCACAGAAGAGCACCATCTCAGGGAGCTCAGTTTCGTTCAGTTAGGTAAGGTGGGGCTTTTTGAGCAAGAACCGACTACCCCCTCCCGCCGGTTGTATTCGGGATAGTAAGCTAGGAGCAGGAGACTCGACGGGGCTGCATTCTTCACTTGCTTACCAGTTGACATCGGTTCTTGTGCGTGTGTCTCACCAGATTACATCTCGCTTTGGGTCCTCCCTTCGAGTTATCTCTTCGGATCCCTGCGGTGCGACTTTGTCAGCTGGGCTAGTGGGAAAAGTCAGAGGTGCGTATTAGCTGGAGCTCAGAGATTGTCGAGTGAAAAGCTTCACCAGCTTTGGGCCAGGCGATTTTGACTTTTCTTTTGCCAGCACTATCAGTTAGAATGTCAATAAGAATAATAACAACCACAATGGTAGCAGTATCATTAATAATGAAGCCCCACTTCTGCGGCCAGGAAGCAAAGCCGGATGCTTGGCAACTGGCCAAAGTGCTGGTGGTCCGAAGTGGACAAGGAAGTATGTGCTTCCGTGCTACTGTCTAGATTGCATTGTTGTCTCTCCCAACATGTTGTGCGGGACGGCTTGAGGCATCGCATTCATGCTGAGATTGATTCGTGTTGGCCATCCTGCGGTGGTTGGTGAGTTCTTTGGAACGTCTTCTCAAAGTCGGATCGGTTGCCACAGTCTTTACCGTGAAACCTGTCCCCGGCTTCGGTGGCAAACCTCAACATACAGCTAGCGCCCTTGTCTCTCAAACAGGAGCCATCGTGAAGCTGTCTGGAAGCGACGAAAAAGCATGGCTGCCACTGGAGCCACGGCTGTGTCCTACGTATGACTCGCTAGTTTGCCCGGTGATATATATATATATATATGCCTACTCACGGCGATGATGAGGACGATGCGGCCGGTGCTGTTACTGGGCCGGAGGAACACCTTGTGCAATGCCATGCTGCTAGTGACAAGCCTAGGATATCTTAGGATGATCGCCGTGATGTTGGAGTTGATTGCTTTTGTTTGTGGTCATGCTGTTGTCGTTGTCGTTGTCGTCGTCGTTTTTGTGGCTGTGGTTATGGTTGTGGTTGTCGTGGTTGGTGTTGTTGTTTTTGTTGTGGTTGTGGTTGTGGTTGTGGTTGTTGTTGGTGTTGCTGTTGCTGTTGCTGTTGCTGTTGCTGTTGCTGTGGTTGTGGTTGTGGTTGTCGTTGTTGTCGTTGTTGTCATTGTTGTCGTTGTTGTCGTTGTTGTTGTTGTTGTTGTTGTTGGTGGT